GTATAAAGACTGCAAAGGCTGAAAAATCTTGAAGTCTGTATGAAATTGGAGGCAGTTTGAGGATTAAAATTTTTTTGGCTTTTTAAGCTCAAAAAGGGGGGTCGTATTATACATGAGATCATATAATACAGGAATAAATGTGGTAATTCGATTCTACATTTTTTACATTGTTTTCTTTTTGTGATTTTGTTTAGAAGTGGAAAACCCAAAGAACAAACCACAGGCTGCACAGATACTTTTAGTTACAGATATGTTTTATTTTTCTAACATTTGTTTTTTCTTCTCTCTCTCTTTACAGTCGTGCAATCAAGACCAATCAGGACCTGCTTCCAGAGACCCCCTGGACAAACATCTTTTACGATGACTTCTGGGGCACCTTACTCACACACAGTGGTAGCCATAAGTCTTACAGACCCCTCTGCACCCTCTCCTTCCGCCTTAACTATTTGGTGGGTGGGCTGGAGCCTTGGGGTTACCACCTGGTTAATGTAGCCCTCCACGGTGCTGTGACCATCCTGTTTACCTCTCTGGCCCGCCTGTTGCTTGGGGGAGGACTATGGAGCCTGCTAGCTGGCCTAATATTTGCTTCTCACCCTATCCACACTGAGGCAGTGGCGGGCGTTGTTGGACGGGCCGACGAAGGTGCTGCCCTGTTCTTCCTGCTGTCCTTGCTGTGTTACATTCATCACTGTAGACTGCGGGGGCACGCAGGGTCATTGCGACTTGCTGCATGGTTCTTGAGTAGCTTGGGCTGCGCAGCATGCAGTATGCTGTGGAAGGAGCTGGGAGTGACCGTTCTGGCTGTATCAGCACTGTACGATGTCTTTGTTTTCCACAGGTTCAAACTGCGACAAGTCATTACGCTCCTCTACAAGGTAAACCCTCTGTTCTTATATGAAGAATGACACAAATGACATTGAAAAGTTACACGACACAAAAGTTACATGTTGGTGTTTTTGATTTGTTTGCCAATCATCACAGCAAAATGAAAGTATCACAATGTATGACCAGCTGTGTCCTTTAGGCATGTTTGTGGCATTTTCTRTTAGTTAGAGCACAGGCCATGCAAAAGGATTGAACAAGCAAAGCTAAATAAAAAAACAAATCAGTAGAAGAAAAAAATAAAGAACAAATGGCTGAAATAACAAATCATGATGACTATTTTRTAACATCTTGTTTCCCCCAGCAACACCTGTCAGGAGCTTTTACTGATTTCATGACTACTCAGTGAGTTATGCACAACTCTTCACATCGTCCGAAATCCACCAAGATTTCAGTTCTGTGATACGGTCAACAAACAAGTCACTCTCTTAGCCACACCTGTTGGTTCATAAATTACACATTAAGCTTGCCATGTCCTGTAAGTATGTGAGCTTTCATTAATGAAGCATTGCAGAAACAAAAAACACAAACGGCATAGAGTGTAACGGAGCTGCATAAAATGTGTGTTAGATATCTCCCATTCCTAATCCTTTGACTGGCTGGGAGCATAAACTATTCATCATYACTACATCACAGTATCAAGCCGCAGAGCTGATTTACCTTTTCGTATGTTGATCTATCGAGTGCCTCGCTTTCAAATATGTGACAAAACTGAACTGAACCCACCACAATGCCTCTAYGCTTTCATAAATCTCACCAAGATGACCTCAGGCCCATCTCAAAGCATCCACAGACTCCATCCGAACTGCTGAAATTGACTCTCATTGTCGCAGTCGCATGACGAAAATCATGGGATTCAGATTGCAACGTCAAGTCTTCCACTCCTTTTTCCACAAACCGCATAAGAACTTAGTGTGTGATTGGTCAGAAGTTTGTGGGCGAATGTGTTTGTAGATAAAGAGACGCTGCATTTCACTTCAACTACCCGCTTCCATTTTTTTTAAATACTCGCTTTAAGAAGCCGACTGTTGTACCCAGAATTAGACATTTTAATTAAAGGACAAATAATGTCCAACGTCAATGCTTTTCTTTTTTAGTGTAGACCCCASTGGGAAGAAACCACGTCTGATGACATGTACCACAGCGGGGGGGGGGCTTATCAAGCCAAGAGCTTGAAAACGCAGTGTGCCAGGGGCTATAAAATGAACGTCAAACGAACACGTGACCGTGCATCGACTGTTCGACTTCAGTATAATGAACACTTTAAGGTGTTTTGGAAAAGGGACTAATGAGAACAACAAAGGATTTAAAAAAATGTTATGACAAGAAAAGCTGGATCTAAGAAAAGAGACAAACTGAAAGGAGGTAAAAATAAATACAGGCGGAAAAAGATGCCAGCTTTATACTTTTTCTTTTCACTGCTCAGTGTGGGGTGGTAATGAAGAGTAGAAGGCTCTGCTGACATCTACTCCATGCTTTCCTCTCATAATTTAGGCTTTATCTGACTYCTGTCTTGTCATGTGTGGCCCATCTCTTACCGCTGGAGAACGACCCCCCATGCTTGTCAGCCTTGGCCAAAGTACAAGGAAATGGGGCCAAAAAGGGCTGAAGGAAATGATGCTTCAAAGCTGACAGTTTTTCAACTCTTTAATTAAAAGTTCACACACCCTGCTGATCCAACTGTCTTTGGGATGAAAAGAACTGGAAGCCAGTTACAGTACTGGCACAAAGCGTGTTTTTCTTTTTTAGTTTGCCATCGTAGTTTACTCAACTGAAAGAATTTAGATATACTGTATATCCTAAATGTCTTTATTCCTCATTATTTAAGAATTAGAGTTTTAAATTAAAATGAATCACCAAATACCAATCCCTGAAATGTTTATTGTTCTGATGTTTTTGCAGGCAGAAACTCTCTAAGTTGAACTTTCATAAGTGCCTAACAAAAGCTTCAGAAAATTTCAGCCTAATTGTAGTTTTTGTGCTTTAGATGGTGGATAATTTAGAGAACTGTCAACAGCAAAGCATCAACTTTGTATACCAAATTCAGACCGTCCAATTTTACTGTGTGTAAAATTACACACTACACCCGAGCAGACTGTCTCAACGTTGTACACAAAGACAACCAACAATTTGAAGTCGCAAACATTTTAACCTAAAGGGAGCTCAATTAAAGCAGACTGCATTGCATTAAAGTGACAAATAAGGCACTGTGTGGGTTGAAATGCCCTTTAAGAAATGTACTAACTGCCATAAGAGGGGACTATAAAAGAGCATCATGCCTTTATTTTGCCAACATGCAACTATAGCTGACAGCAGTCATTATAGCAGCCTGTCATTTACTCACTCTGCAGGCAGTCTACAATCCAACACGGAGAGTTGTTGGAACTTCAGACACGCTAACTTCAGAGGATTATTTTAGATACAAAAGAGTGAATTTTGTATGTTTGCATTTTGTCATCCAATGTGTTTCCAAAATTGTCAGTACTGCAACATAGAGCATTTAAAATTTTGTGAGGTGAATTTTGTTGCCAGCATAAGTAAGTTTTAGAGCATCTCTCCTAATGAGCATTGAACTGTATCAAAATTATAATATAATTATAACTAAATTAAAGACAAGTCTTGCTTAAATGTTAAGATTCGTCAGCATGGACACCCGGCTTGTTTTTGTTTTTCGCTGTTTTGGAAGCTCAAACCCATCCTGTGGTTGGAATTTCGAGGCAGGCTTGTTGCATGACTGTCGAGCTGTAATGGGCTGGCGCTGTGTTTTATCACCGAGCTTTCCACTCGGCTCAGACCGTTTGACATTTAACGCTGGAAATGGTAAAATGGACCTGCTTATCTGATTGCGGCGCCCAGTCAATTACAGTAGCTTTATATCCACTGCAAATCTGCCTTTGTGCCATAATGACTTCTGTGTGCTGATAGAAGGGTGCAGGCAGGCGGTGTAGCTCCACTGGGTAATAACTCATTCATCAAGATTTTTGRCTCCAGGCTCTGCATGCAAATCAACTGAAAGAGGTGATTTGTTGGTACGATCTTCCTGTTTGTGTTTTCCAAAAAGTACATTAGTAATATTTCAGAATAAATCGCATAATTACTAGGTTTTCTTACAAAGCTAATATAAACCGCATATCTTACAGTARCTGCATTTTAATCCACTATGGTTTTATAATATGCATGTTCTCTTTGTCAAAAGGGGACRTATCATTCAAAATCCATTTTTTAGCCATTAAATATATTTTGTTGTGTACTAGGAGTCTCTAGGAGTGCAGAAAATACTAATTTAGTTTCTCCCGGTGCTTCTTACTTAAAACAAGGTCTGGACTCACCAACTACATAGTCGTAAACCCCTCTATCAAACTAAAATGGACTGCTCTGGATGCTGGAGGGGGGCGGAGTGTGAAGCACCTCGTTTGGATTTAAAGAGACAGCTTCAAAACGAGTTGATCTGAGATATGTCAGAAAAGAAAGAGGGGCTTTTGGAGTTACAATATGGAGGAATTAAGACCAAAGCATTGCAGTTCCGCTTTATATAGACCCGAACTGAATGATGTGAAAATGGTTGAAATGGCATCATTTAACAATTTCTGAATTATAGGAGTTTTGTTCTTAACATTTTCTTGGCTGTAAAAAGAAACTAGAAGCACTTGGAGAGTGCAAACCTCCGCCAAGACCAATTTCCCCCATCCTGTAAGAGTTAATGCACAAAAGCAGAGATGGAAACACATTTGCTGAATAAGTTCTGATGTGACAAACATTTAAGCAGGTAGTAAGCACAGGATTTCTTCTCAGTGGAGTCCAATGTGAAAAAAAAAGTCAGACTCATCACCCGACGTTATTCATCATCAAACTGGTGTTGGATTAAGCTCCTAAGTTTTCATCAGTCACATTTCACCATGTAAAACGTCTGTTTTATCCCCTTGTATGAGTTTGTAATGGTTTGACTCTCTTTATAAAGTACTTCCTGGCTCCCCCCGTCTCCAAACTTTGAGGCCCGGCAGCTCTCTGTTTACAAGCCTAATAGTGAGAAACTGTTTTGATTGGTTGTTTCAGAAATGTGGTGTGTTTGAGGAAATGGGAAAAATAGGTTTCATGGTGCAGTCACGCACTTCCTGGTCACAAAACGTCCTGTAAATGCGCATATTATGGCAAAAAATTATTCATCATTAAATGTGGCTTTAACATGACTTTTATAAAGTTTGAAGTCTGTGCTGTCCAATCCAGCTCACTGTTTTTTTACAGAAGCCCTGTGAAAGCATCACAGCTTTGCCGATCTCAGAGTGTTAAAAGAAAAAAATTCCTGTATCTGCATCGTGATCCGGAACATCACCAAAATTTAAAGATATGTTCCTTGGTCCAGTATCCACATGTGATAAAAATGTCATGACAATCCGTCCACAAGTTTTTGAGTAATGTTGTCCACAGACAGAACGATAGACATATGCGACCGAAAACATTACCTCGCCCTTGGCGGAGGTAATGATCTTTCTCTAAAACCATTAGACACATCATTCACTCACTAGTTATTTAAAATGTTATCCGACATTTAAAAAAGCCATATTTTATATATGTAGCATTGTACATTATGTTGAATATTTTTATGACCTAAAATAACCTACATCCTTTCCAACTCCTTCCGTTTTCTTTCTCCAGTCATTAGTCTGTTTATTTGGTGCTGAATCCAGCAGCTCCTATTGTGTTGATAATTGGTGCCTGTGCAAAGCTTTAGTTTACAATGTGTTCTAATTAGCTCTTTCCAAGTTWTGTGCTGTGTTGAAAAAGTGGGAAAAAAATGTACTGCCATTAAACTGTTTAATCAGACTGACCTTTACAGTGCTGATATTCTCCAGTTGCTTTGCTCCTGATTAAAGCCGTTGCAGCCATGTGTTGTTCTGTTGAGGCAATGAGTTGAAAGCAGTCAAATGTTACACTCYTGGCAGTGATGTTTGTACAATCTAACGACTGTTTATGTGGAAAAAACATGCGTTTTACA